AAATCTCAACAAGTCATTTTTTTTGAACCAGTTAAATAAGGCCATGAATGGCACATTTCCTCCGTGGTGGAAACCATTGTGGGCATGTTGATGCTCTGCTTTTTTATGAAGGAGGTTGTAATGGTACTTTCCTGCTTTGTTCGATGGACCAATTACAGCAATTCCCCCTCTCGCAACTGATTATTTTCTAACAAAAAAATCTAATAAACCACAAATAAAATAAAAAATAAATTGACGTGACATGAATGTACTTTGTAATTCAACGCATTACAGAAATGTAGTGGAGTAGAAAGTACAGATACTTAATGTAAAATGTAGTGGAGTAAAAGTCAAAAGTATCCATGATGAAAAATCTACGTAAGTAAAATACAGATACATGAAAAATGTACTTAAGTACAACAAGAAAGTACTTGTACTTAGTTACATCCCACCACTGAGTACAACATAGTTATTTCTGCATTTATTTGAGGAGGTCACCTCCTAATAAATGTCCTTACAGAAAAATCAAACTGCTCATAAAATCAATACTTTTACTTTTGATACTAAAGTACAAAAAGTATCAGATACTTTAATACTTTTACTCAAGTAATATTCCTAAAGGAGACTTTAACTTTTACCAAAGTATTTTTTGGTAAGATATTTGTACTTTTACTCAAGTATCACTTTGTGGTACTTTATACAACACTGGTGGAAACTGGACTGAACTGCAACATTTTAGCTTTTGAAAATAATGAAAATAATAATAAGAAAATGTGTTTTTTTACAAATGCAGGTCTCACCTAGTGCTGATAACAGGCAATTATATGTTTTCAAGAAAAGAAAAATCCCCATCAGCAATGAGAACTACAAGAATAATTTGATTTTTGGCCTTTCATCCTCACCACAACTGCAGCAACTAGCGTGCATAACTGAGCAGGTGAATGTTATTTTATCTTTATTAAATGAAAAAAAAAAGTACTTTCAGTTTTTTTGTACATACCTGTCTACCCTGACTTCTGTCTTTCCTTAGTTATGTGTCCCAATACTGAAAAATCACAAAAATCATCACATGTTGCCAAATTTGACGTCTCAAGACCTTGTCCAACATGTGGAGGTCATTTGCAATGATGCATCAGTTGTGCAAGGACGGATTTTAGGGAAAACTATTCTCCCCATCCCAGCTACCCACTGGCTGGAAAAATTCTACATGTAAGAAAACATTCATATTTTAATGATTAATTTTATAGATGGAGGTTTTAGATGATTTCATTGTCTCTTTCAGGAATCAAGACTATGACWGGGAGCGGGCCAATGCCATAGAGACCCAGATTGTCTACTGGTCCGGTCTGATCGAGAAAGTTTTGAAGGAGGACTCATCGGACCTACTCAGGACAGGCTGTAATCCAGGGCCCAGTGCAGAGCTGGCCTTTTGGGCCTCCAGGAAATGCAACATAGAGAGCATTTACCACCAGGTAAGAGACTCAGATTATTAACAAAGAAAAAAAAAAAGAAAAATTTAGTTTCATTTTCTTTCATTTCATTTATCTAAATGTTTTATAGCTTCAGAGTCCCAATGTCGAAATGATGGCAAATATATTGGAGAGGGTGGACAGCTGCTATCATCCAACAATCAAGGTCCTGATTAAAGAAGTGTCTAAAGGTAAGGATAGTTTTTTTTCTGTCTCAAATAGTTTATGTAGTAGTTTGTATCTTGACTGTAGTTAAATCAGTGGATATGGTGGTGACCAGTTCTCTAATTTAATTTCTTTTTGCTCTGTACAAATATGAAATAAAATAGCACTAGAGGAAGCTCGAGACATTGACCTTAATCTGCAGCCGCTAAACACACAACTGTCTCAGCTGGAAAGGGAAGGATTTCTTTGTATGGAGAAAAACACCCCTGCACTTTTTCACACAATATTCCAAATCTGGACCAACTGCCAGCATTATCAAAGACAAGCTCGCATTGTGGTGCTCCTTCAGGAACTCTGCAATCTGTTCATTGAACAGGTACAAATCCTCTTGAACATCCAGTAACTCAGATTGCAGTTGTTGACTGTGTGACTGAATGGCCTTTGCGCTTTGTAGGCTTTCTCGTACCTCCCTGCAGACCTGCTGCTCAGACGTGATCAGGAGGAAACTCTTCAAATGGTAAAGGAGGTGATAAAAGTCATGAACTGCTTCAAAGAGAGTTATCAGACTCAAAAGGAGAAGCTGGCCAATCAGGACAAACACGCACCCTGGGATTTCCCTCCTGCCGAGATCTTTTCACGTTTCAGACAGTTTTTTAATCRAATGCTACAGCTCCAGGTGAGATCATAAAAATACACTGCAAAATATCCAYCTAACCAAGTTTTAAAGTCTTATATCCAGCCAAAAAGTCTTTTTGATCTTGTTTTGAGACTGATTTACTAAACAAGAACTGACTGTGTAAGAATAATAATCTTGTTTTCAGAATATATAAGATTATTTGTCTTTTTAGACTGAAAATTTGACTCAAATTAAGTCAAAATTTCTGCCAGTGGAGTAAGAAAATTTTACTTTGTAAGATTCTTGAAATAAGAAGAGTCAAATCAAGTATTTCATGAATCTTACCAAGTAAAATTTTCTTACTCCATTGGCAGAAATTTTTGACTTAATTTGAGTCAAATTTTCAGACTAACAAGACAAATAATCTTACACATTCTGAAAACAAGATGATTTTTCTTACACAATCAGTTCTTGTTTAGTAAATCAGTCTCAAAACAAGATCAAAAATACTTTTTTGTCTGGATATAAGATTTTAAAACTTGGTTAGGTGGACAGTTTTTGCAGTGTAGGTACTAGCACTTTTGTTTTTAAAGTTGGCATTCTTTTATAATGTCATTTATAATTTGTTTTTATTTTTTAGAACTTGTTTGAAGTTATGTTGCATTTTCAAAGAATGGAAAAACTGGCGTTTGGCGGGCTTAAAGGGAGAAAGTACAATGAGGAAGTTGCCAAAATAAACTATGAGTTCGGAGAGCACTGCCATGCATTGAAGCTCAGTGGCGCTAATCCACTTGACTTCACCTCTCAGGTGAGGCTAAACATTTTTCTGGGATTTACAGGCTAAGAATATCAGTTAGAAATGCATAAATTTGCAATATCCTCTAACATTAAATGCTGTAACCTTATTTTTCTTCCAAGTGTTTTGAAGAAGAGCTCAACACTTTTAAAAGAAGAATCGCAGACATAGAATGCCGTGTGGCCAGCCTGATGCGTTTCGCTTTTCAAGACTGCACAGGACTGGAACCGTCTTTGAAAGTAAGCTAAAACTGAGTGCTAAAGAGCTGTTATTGAGCACAGGTACAGATCTGCAAAGTAAGCCTTTTTTTTCAGATGTTAACAATTTTTGGACCTCTCCTGGAGAGAAAACCTATCAGACAGATGTTCGGTCCCAGCTATGTTCTGCTGCAGCAGCGTTTCAAAGAGGAGCTGGAGGATTGCAAATGCCTGTTTGAAGCTCAGCACAACCAGGTATTTTTTTTTATTTGAACTTGTACATTTAAAGTACACATTATTTCCACTTTGGATGCTGTCTGTCACATTAGCTTTTGTTTTCCTCGTCGTTTTCAGATGGACAGYGGGCTGACCAAGAACATGGCACGCACATCTGGAGCTTTAAAATGGGCAAAAATGCTGAGAGAGCGCATTCAAACACCTTGGGAAAAAATCAGATTACTGTATGACATGTGGGTAAAAAACTGAGGTTGTTACGAGAATAATCTTTATGGACTTGCAATTACAATATTTAACATCTATGGATTTCTTTTAGGTCTGTAGAAGAAGTGGAGATGGCGAATGAGTATCAGATGTACACTGAGATGTTGAGTCTTCTGAGTCAGTATGAAGAGAGAATTTATTCTGAGTGGTGTGATGGTGTGGAGCAGGCCTGCTTGACCAACCTGAGCCAGCCTCTCATTTCAAGATGTCCCATATCTGGCCTGATTTCAGTCAATTTTAATCCAAAGGTATTTGATACAGTGTCCAAGAAACATTTTGAWGTAATATGTCCTGAGTGTAAAAACATATGTATTGTATTCTCAAAGTGGGTTTAGCTGTTATATRCAATGTACACAGAATGTGTAATTTGCTTCTCTTTTCAGCTGACTGAAATCTTGAAAGATGTGAAATACTTYCGCACAGTCAGTCAGATCAACATACCTGCTGCTGCATTAGCTGTGTTTGAGAAGCGTGACATGTTCACAAAGGTAAAAATAAACATTTCTCATCATTCCACTAAAAAGTAAAAAATAATTACATATATTTATTTCACATGAATTAATTTGAATTTCACTCTCCCCCCAGTACATCAGCAGTTTGCACGTGTTAGTGGAATCGTACAACCAAATAAAGCAGACCACGCTAGAGGTGGAACTTCCCCTCATCGAAGCCGAGCTGCAGTCCGCAGACCTGCTGCTGGTGGAAGCAGAGACCAGCCTGACGTGGCAGCATCAGGAGTGCTGGGGCTTTATCAACACCGCAAGGGACCGTGTCCAAGACCTCGCTCAGCGAGTCAGCAGAGCCAAGGACAACTGTGACGCCATTCGGTCTGTGATGAAGAGTTGGAGCCGAAAAGTCATGTTCTGCGGAAAAGACAACAAGAAACGTTCGCTGATACAACTGGATGACAGGAAAGACTGTGTCCAGAAGATGTACAGCTCCATGACGAATGATGGGGAGTTCATACATCAGCTGGTGCAGGTGTGTATGGCTGAACACACTGATCATTCTAATCATTCATTAGAACTAGTGTCCTTTTAATTTTTAGTTTTAAAGATTTTTTTTGAACAACTACAAAAATGTTGARTTCGATAAATTATGACATATTTGCAATTTATCTGTTTAGGCTGTTTGTACCAGGACAGACTAAAAAGGCAGGCATTGTTAAAATGTGGTTATACTTTTCAGGAAAATATGCTCCTCTTTCAAGCTGATCCTGCTTCAGGAGAATGGCTGTCCTACCTGGAATATGTGGACGAGATCGTAGTGGAGGGGCTATTCGGCTACATCAGTCGCTCCCTTCATTTCTTCGTGGACAGTATGGAATATGGGTCTCGCCAGTCTCCTCTGTTTGAGGCTCAGATGATGCTGACTAAATCAGGGTTGACCTTTCATCCTTTAATGGACCGAGATGTAGGAGGTGGCCTCTACAAACTGATAGAAGGACTGATTGAAGACATATTCAAAACCACAGGGAAAATCAGCAGAGTGGCTTCTCACCTTAGTGAGAGCTATGAGGTACTTTAACATTAACACAGGTTTTCTTTCCTTTYGCAATAGTTAAACAGTTTGCTACCAAATCGGGTGTTTTAATCTTTTATTCTTGTCTTTTCAAAACAWGAATTGGATTTTTAAAGAGGTTACTCATAATTCTTCAAAGACCTTAAAGGAAAACACAGTCCATATAAACACACTTTACATACATGTTGAGATAAAAGGGCCTTGTTCTTGCAGATGTAATATTTGATGTCAAACAGATTGTCTCATAAAAATGGTCACTGTAAACCATGCCAGTTCATTCATATATATATATGTATATATATATTTATATAAATTTTTTTGTCAGAGCAAAACTTATTTCCTATTAGCAAAACTGATTTWGTCAATTTGAGATTAAAACTTAAAAAATGTCAAACACAATTCAGTAATGGTTGGGAGGGGCACATAATTACCATGATTACTTCGCTCATCTGTTTTATTCAGTTGAGAGTTAATAACAGTTTAGGTCTAAATGAGGAATTTGTCTCTTACTGCTGAATACAGGCTTTCTGCTGCTCAACAATCTTGTTCCTTTCCTCAATGTGTGCCTATTCTGTGATTTGTTACWTTACTTTTACAGGATGTGATGAATGACGTCCTACATCTGTCAAAGATGAGGCAAGACATAATGAAGCGAGTGGACAGCGTCCTGAAAATGGTGAACAACTACCAGAGGGAGTTTGATTGCTGCAGCCACTTATGGGGAGACAACCAAGAGGAGTCTCTCAAGAAGTTGCTTAGAAGCGGACCTATACTCACAACTGAGGAGCGGGACATTGTTCCTGAAAATCCCCCTGCGATCAATGCCTTTAAAGAAGAAGTAAGATGTTGTTTTCAAACTGGTGATTTATGGGCATTTAATATATGGCAGGGATTTTTTTATTGTCTGTTGTCGTTTTGATTGCTTAGATTGATTATTACGAGAACCTGTACGCTGACGTTTCTGAGCTGGAGGACTTTGAAGTTTTTGATGAATGGCTTCGGGTAGATATCATGTCCTTCAAAGTCAGCCTTCTTAACACTATAAAAAAGTGGAGCTGGCTTTTCAAAGAGCACCTTTTGAAGTTTGTGACTAACAGGTAAATAACACAATACTAAGTCTTGATTTAAATTTCAGCTGTTGGATCAGTTGTTTTCACAGTGCATCCTCTCTCACTCAGCCTGGATGAGCTAGAGAAGTTTCTCCAAGCCACTGTTGAGGGGCTGAACAATCCTGTTGCTACAGGGGACTACAAAGGTCTTGTAAAAGTCATGAGCCACCTGTTAGCTGTCAGAGACAGAAAAAGCAGCACAGACAAGATGTTTGAACTTCATGGAGAGACAATATTTCTCTTAGAACGCTATGGTGTCACAATGCCTCATCAGTTTTACTCTCAAATGGAGGTGAGAATATATTTTTCTTCAGACGCCTAATAAACAAATTTGAACATATGTAAATTTTCATGTTAAACCGGGGATTAAGTCCCAAAGATGTGGAGGAATAGGCCACTATAGTGCAATGGTTAAAACAATTGTAATAATTACATATACTAATAGCCTATCAATGGATCACTGTAATGAACTGTCTGAAATATAATTTTTAAAAAATGAGCCTTTTTTTGAGTAGTATAAACAGAAAACATGATTTTTAACAAAAAATTACTTTTTTTATATTTTCTCTGTGAGCTAGCAAAGCTTTTTTACTTTCCATTGAGTAAATCTTAATATCCAGTTATTGTTTGAAGTTTCCTCTTTAAAATTACATTATAATACCTCATGAGAATAACCTAAAAATAGATTCAAGTCAAATATTAATGGCTTCTCCTGATTAGGAAGACAAATCAAGGCATATCTCATGGTATGATCCAGGTATCAAAATTTAACTGATAAAACAAGAATCTTAAATGTACTCAGGTCATTTTGACCAAATTTGACCTATTCCTCGGTTTGATGTGATGAGTCACGTTTATTATTTAAATATATGATTGTTAATAAATCATTTATGTGCAGATGGTATTGTTTCTTAATGTTGTGCACATTTAGGCTTTAACCATGCAAAATACTTCTTCTTTACAGAAGCTTCCAGAGAAATGGGATGAAGTTAAAAAACTGGCTCTAAAAGTGAGGCAAGATGTTGCTCCCATGCAAAGTGCAGAAGTGATGGTTTTGCGAAATCAATGCGTCGATATGGAGGTGACAACAATTACCTGTTCGAACCTAGGACTTTACTTAAAAAAGTCATATAGATTTAAAAAGTTAAACATTTATGTTTGGAAATTTATGCCTTTAAAAAAATTGAGTCCTAAATTTAAAAGCTCAAATCATGAAACATGTAAAAAGTACACAAAGGTTTTTTGATTATTAATATTTATTTTTCAGACAAAACAAGCCAAATTCAGGGAGCTGTTTAAAGCAACAGCTCCTTTCAGTTACGATGCAGTGGATCCCTACGCTTGTCTGGATAAAGTAAGAGTCTGTCTTCATTTTAGAATTAATTTTTTTAATTTTTTTTTTTCCTGCTGGATCTTCTTAATGCAAATTTGTGGTTTTTAGTCTGAAAAGGCCATAGAAAACATGGAGAGAGAAATATCAGAGCTACAAAAGTCCGCAAAACTGTTTGATGTAACTATTCCTGACTACAAAGACCTCAAGCTCTGCAGACAAGAAATTGTTGTCCTTAAAGAATTGTGGGACATCGTGGTGCATGTCCAGGCAAGTAGCTTATTCTACAGTCTGAAATGTCTCATACTAACCCTTGTGTCCAAACAACTGTTTGTTCTTTTGGAAGTTTTGTTTTAAATCTTTGAAGTCCCTCTTGCCTCTGAATTGTCTCCACAAAGGACCTTCATCCTCTTGACCCCCGTTTATGTGTCTTTATCTACACAGAGCACAGTGGGAGCATGGACAGTGACCAAATGGAGGCAGATAAACACAGACCAGATGGATGCAGAATTAAAGAGCTTTGCCAAAGTGAGGCTACCACCAGCGCTACATCACACCAGCTTTTCTCACCTGCTGTTTTGCTGTCACGCACCATCGCCATTTGTAACAGATGTCCCTAATAACTAGTTATGTTCTCCACGCCGTCTGTTTTTGTAGGACATGCAAAAGCTTGACAAAGATGCTCGCRCGTGGGATGTGTATTCTACATTTGATCTTTATGTGAAGAACTTGCAGACGTCACTGCGGGCTGTTGGTCAACTGCAGAACCTGGCGATACAGGAGCGTCACTGGGTACAGCTAATTAGAACAACACAGGTGCCTAAATACACACAGCAGAAGTCTTTCTATAGCCCAGCATTTTCCTTACACAAAAGATACCGCAGACCTGTTTAAATAATAGTTTATTATTATTGTTATTCTTTGAACAGATGGGCTTCACTGTGACAGACAACACCACCTTGGGGGACCTTTTGGCTTTGAAGCTTCATTTATTTGAGGATGAAGTTCGCATTATAGTGGATAATGCAGTCAAAGAAATGGCTCTACAGAAGGTTTCTTCCGACAAATAAATACATGATTTGATGTGAACACAAACAGTCCCTTAGTTTCTAATGTTTTTTTATTTATCCTGACTAGTGTATAGATTTTTTAATAATGCAACTGAAAAAAAATAATTATTTGAAACTGAAACCCAATCTAGAAAATGTATTTGTTATTATC